CTATCTATCTATCTATCTATCTATCTATCTATCTATCTATCTATCTATCTATCTATCTAATTTTGAAAGTCTACAGTGCTTTTCTTCCACTAGATATGATATGAGTCAGTGGTCCTAGCAGCCCTCAACTTACAATCATTCATTTAGTGAGTGTTTAGTAAAGTTACAATGATTAGATTCTTACATCAAATTACTCCCTGATTTCAAATGCTTATGGTGTTTCTCCATAATCTGCATTGAATGGTTTAAATTGGATTTTTTCCAATTTAACAAAGTTTTATATTAATGATTTAATATTTCTCCGTGTGTATGTAGTTTTCTGTGTATACTGGCAGAACACCCCTTTGTCCTCTCAATTACTAAGCCTAGTGAATGAACCCTACTGTTTGCTGGTATGCACACCTGTGCAAAGGGGAGGGAAGGCAAACTCCTGTTTTTGATGTAAGAGGCCCATTTGCTGATCTGAATAACCTCAACAATCCATTCACACCTTTGTCTTTCTTCTTTCAGGGTCTGAAGTCCCTTTTTCTATGTCTTTGTTTTTACTTGACAAGTCACACATGTTCTGAATAGCTGCTCCAAGCCATTCAACATTTAGATATGTGTGTCTGTGCTTGTGTGTTTGAAGGGGGAAAGAAGGCTGATAAGCTGGGACAAGTTGAACAAAACAGACTTCTGATCTTTTTGTTTTAAGTCCTGAAAACTGTATAGTTTCTTGGACACAGGTCATGATCCAGACAAGTGACACTTCCAGGATTAAACTGCCCAGATCTCTTTTTCTCTAGCAACCCTTTTCACAGCTAGTTCTCTCGTGTTGCTAAATTTTGTATCTTCCAAACACTGATTTATTTGTTTGTTTATTTGGCTTTATTTATTTATTTGAACCATCTCTCTTAGAAGTGACCAATTGAAAAAAAGAGGAAAACTGAAGGAGTGGTCTAGAGATGATTGTATTAACTTGTACATCCCATACTTTTGTTCCACTTCCATGTTCCCAACTGGAACTTGTAAATATTCAGTTAATGCATAAAATAAGGCAGGTAGAATGGATGAAAATATTGTTGCAAACAAAGAAATGGGAACATTGAGATTGATGTCCAGATAATCAACCATTAGGAACTGAAGAGTCATTGCAGGAAGAAAAACATTTGTAGATCTCACAGATTATAAAAGATAAGAGTAATCCTGCAGTTTCTTTCTGCTGGGTATTGATCTTATGATATACATACCTTTGCATGCTTTCCTGTGTGTGATAGGTTTGGTCATATCCCGATAGTAGCCTTCTTTACAATAGTGGCAGTGACGACCAGCAGTGTTGTGTCGGCAATTAAGGCAAACACCCCCACTCTTGCGACCAGATAATTTGTAGAGTTCCATGTTAAAACGACACCTTCTGGCATGGAGGTTGCAGTTACAAGCTGGAAGGAAGGAGGAAAAATGGAGGTGTAAAGTTTGGTGGTTCTCAGATACTGATAAATTTGGCATTAAATAATATATTTTCTAGATATATTATAGCAAACATGTATAAAATAGCAACAAGTCCCCAATTCCTAGTCACTCACATTCTATAACATTGTATGCCAGCTTCTGCCCTGGAAGATCACTTTAATAAGACTTTAATCAAAATGTTAGTCTTTTCTTTCCTTTCTATAAAACTATCAAAAAAAATACACAAAAAAGCTTCCTTAAAGTGGTGCCCTTTGCAAATACGTTTGAGATTACACAAATCCATGCCACGAATCCTTCATTCATCATTATTATGGGGCTTTGATATATGGTTTATTAATCTGCTTTGGAACAGAGAAACTTTATAATCCATTCTCATTTCCTATGTTCAGTTCATGCTGCCAGTGGCAGATAAAGGCATGACATTTGCTTATTGTATTTGATAACTGATATTAATTCTTTGTTCTGAAATTGTAACACAATTTTTAATGAATTCTTGCCGATATAATTCCATTCTCTTACTCAACTCTATCCAAAGTTTCTGTTTCTGAAATTCTGTTTAAAGTGTTTATTTGCAAATTTTATACAGAGCACGAATCCATTTTTATAAATCCCACTCTAACATATAAAACCATAATTTCATTCTAAGTTTATATTTTAAGCAAATACATCATAACAAATTTATTTATATAAAGTATTAGGGAAATTTGAAAAAAACAACAACAGAGGGATATTCTGCACAATATCCTTTTTTCAGGATAACATACAGTAGACTCTTAAAAATGCAGCAAAGCAAAGTCATTGGATAGTCCTAGGATTAGGCACTCAAAGGCCAAATTTCAGTCCATGAGCATTCTGGCAATCAGGGATCAGAGTTTTAAAATGCAATACTAAAAGAGTAATATTTTTTGAAAAATCAAGCAGGAACAGATCTTGTTTCTGACATGATCCTAGCTTGAACTGCCTTGAACTGGATTCCTCCCTCCTTCCCTCCTTCCTTCCTTCCTTCCTTCTTTTTAAGCTGTAGATCCCATTCATACAAAGTTGTTAACTTTCAGCAGTTACCTTTTCTTTTCTTTTTCCAATAAATTTTTATTATTTTCCACCAGTACAAATCTTAGTTACTTTTTCAACAACACTGACATCCACATATAATATTGTCTTCTATTTGCAGTTACCTTTTCATAGAACTAGTTATAAGCAAGGATATCCATTTAAGAGCAGTTACTCCTGAAATCTTCATTGCAAGCATTTCTTCAACTGCCAGCTATCTACTGAACTGCCAGCTGTCTTCAGGAATCTACACTTTTAGGGGCTCAGAAGACTTTTGTCCTTCATGCTGAAGTGAGGTCTATCCTTCCTTGTACCTAAAAGGACTATCTGATGTTCCTTCCCCTGAGTATGTTCAGATACTGAAACCTGGTTTCATCTATTCTTCCACGAGGCTCATGTCATGTCACTAATTACATCCTAAGGATTCTAAGACTTCTGTATCATGGGAAGTAGCTACCCATTTCTTATTCAGTCAGTTCTAGGTAGTTCAAGGATGCAGTGTCCTGTGGGCTGTAGTTCATTCCTTCTCAAATGAAAGCAATACCCTAGCACAAACCCTGTTCTGGTCCAGTCCCTATTTCCCTGCTTGTCTGGTTGTGAATTCCTTTCCCATGGGATTCTCTGCAGAGATTAATTAGTTTATTATTAGAACTGCATCTAGTTCAAGCATGCCTCTCACTCACTGGTTGCTTGTTGCTATCCTTGTGTTAATGTTAACTTTCCTTCCAGTTTCTCCCTGCTTTCATTTGCTCTAAAGCTATTGACTTCAACCACAGTATGTTACAAACACATCCCTGTTTATTACAACCGTGTTTCCAATACACCCAATTATCCAAAAATCCAACTATCTGCATGTCCCTGCTTCCCTCTTCCCCTCACCTCCCCATTTCTAATCCTGGTCTAGTTTGGAGGGCAGCAACAGTTTTATCATCAAAGTAACCATTAAGGAGCTATTTTACTGTGCCAAATCACTGGGGTTTTGTTGTGTCTGGGGTTCTGCCACTATTGTCCTATCACACATTACAACACATCTTAACTATTTTTTATCCAGAGCAGACACATATTGCTATTTATGTTCCACTTTTCTATATCCACCTGTTTACAGAAACAAGGCTCTTCAAAAAAAAATATTGGGTATTTTGCATATATTTTGTATATATACAAAATATATTCTTTAGAATTGCAGACTCTAATTTCATCCAGAGGGGGATGGATTGGAAACCAATGTTTTTATCTTTCTGGAAAGCCCAGTTTCTAAATATCCTGTCCTTGGACTGAGCTGGCACTTAGCCAGCATTCACTGGCAATACAGTAACTGTTTTTAGCCTCTTAAGCTTAATGCTACCCAATAGGGGAAATGGCCTTAATGAGAAATACTTTCAACCTTTCCCCATTCATCTACATCCAAAAATAAAGGAGTGATGCTAATACGCTTAATAAGAAAAAGGAGTAAAGATTAAAGGCTGATGGATGGTCAGGAGGAGTTTGAAATGTCTGCTATTCATATCAGTGAAGAAAATGGAATGTGAAGTTGACCTTGTTCTTTAGCAGTTAAATCCTGTGGTATGATAAATAGTTTTTCTTCTGAACTTGGGCAGAGTATATACCAATAAATAGCTCACATAAAGGAAGACGAGCTGGAGTTGTAAGACCTGAAACCAGCTTATTCCTCAATCATAGTGATGTGGGAAGAACTAATGTGGTAGAATACTATGCAAGGAAAAGGTCTAATCCTTGATACTTAATATTTGAAGATGGGTCTGGAATAATTTATCTAAAACATCATCAACAATAAAACTGAAATAAATGTCATTGCCATCTGTATTACATGGTTGGCAGGAGTCACACTAGGGGTCAAAAATGACTTGAAAGCATGTCACCAATCAATCAAATGTCAACTTTTCTGCACTGTTGCAGCATTACTGCTCCTCTGTCAACATTTTGGGTGTCCTCCCCATCCCAGCATCATTGGCAGAACTAAATAAGCATAGCATGATTCAGAAAAAGGCAGCTTCCTATAATTTCTTTATTTTTTAAAATAAATTTTATTGATTTTACAATTAAAACAAACCGACAACACATACATAAATGAAAGAGAGAGAAAGAAGAAAGGGAGAAGAAAATAGAAAGAAAAAAATAGAAAACAATTAAAAACATTCTCATCTTCAACAGTTTGTAAGACCTCTTTTTTATCCTTATTTTATGCCATATACACACACCTAATCCTTACATATATCTGTGTATCACTACTATGGATTTATCCTATCCTCTTTTGCCTTTTAGTGTGAAGTCTATCTTTGGTCTATCCATTTGTACCAGCAGTTCCAGCTGTTGTAGTATATTGAAGTGTCTTTATTTTTTAATGCCAAAGTTAATTTGTCCATTTCTGCACAACTTGAAATTTTTTGAATGATCATCTCCTCTGATGGAACATGAGGCTGCTTCCAACATTGTGCAAAAGCCAATCTGGCCACTGTCAAAATGTGTATTATTATATATTTCACTTTTTTTTATATTTGTTTATCAAAGATCCCTAACAGAAAGGACTCTGGTTTGAATTCGATCTGTTCTCTTGTCATGTCTTCCAGCCAATTTCTAATTTTCTGCCAATGTTTTTGAGCTTTTGTACAGGACCACCACATATGGAAAAAAAGTTCCCTCTTTTTTTTTTTGCATTTCTAGCAATTCAGACTCATATTGGGGTGCATCTTCGCTAATCTCAAAGGAGGAAGGTGCCATCTATAAAACATTTTATAGGCATTTTCTTTGTATGCTACCGATTTTGTAATTTTATTATTTCTACCCCAGACCTTTTCCCATTCTGTTATGGTGATGCTACATCCTATATTCCTACTCCAGGCTATCACGTTCCCTTTTACAATTTCTTCTTCTAATTCTACTTCTAATAAGTAATTATAAAATTTTGTTGTTTTTTTTTTTTGCCTGATCCTAATAAAATTTTATGTAGTTGCTGGAGTTTATTGTTAATTCCAAATTCTTTCTTGTCCTATTTATACCTACTTTGAATTTGAAGATATGCCCACTGATCAATTTTTAGTCCCCGCTCTTGAAGTTCTTGCCATGATTTCAAATTTCCTTGTGTATCCAATAGATCCTTATATTTAATCATTTTAGTGATATCCAGATTATTTGGGTGAATCATCGCCTCCATTGTTGAAATCCAAATTGGTATTTTTAAATAGTGTTTTTTCTGTATTTTCTTCCAATTAGTTAATAATGAGTCTCTGAATAGGTGTCTGTGAAAATATTTCTGGCTAGTTTTCCCTACATCCCATAAAAAAGCATGCCACCCCCTTTGCAAGTCATGGCCTTCTAAGAATAATATTTTCTTATTGGTTAAATTCACCCATTCCTTCAACCATACTAAAGAGGCTGCACTATAATACAACTCCCAATTTGGAAGTGCCAGCCCTCCCCTGCTCTTCATATCCTGCATTGCCTTTAAATTTATTCTAGGTTTTTTCCCTTGCCAGATAAATTTTACAGTTATTTTATTAAGTTCTTCAAAAAAAAAAATTGTGTACTTTGATTGGGATCGTCTGAAATATATATAGGAATTTTGGAAGAATATTCATTTTAATAGCAGCAATCCTGCCTAATAATGAAAGTTGCAGCTTGCCCCATGTTTCTAAATCCTTCTTTACCTGTTGCATCAATTTATCATAATTATTTTCCTTAAGTGTCTTACAATGTGCTGTCAACCATATTCCTAAGTATTTAACTTTCTTTATCACTTGTACTCCCATAACTTCTAGTTCTATTTTCTGTTTTTCTGTTAAATTTTTAGTCATTAATTTTGTTTTCTTCCTGTTAATTTTAAGTCCTGCTGCTGCTCCAAATTGTTCTAATTCATTCATCAATTTTTGTCCTCTTTCTATTGCTTCCTCAATGAAAAAAA